ATTATGATGATGATGATTTTTACTATTATTATTATTATTATCATAATCATCGTTGTTATCATTTCTATCATAATTATAATCATTAAAGTCACTATCATTAATATTATCATCATCATACTCATTAACATAATACTCATATACATGAATAACATACATTACGTTATAATGTTATAAGCACAGAATAAACAGAAGGGAATCTTAGAGTTTATCAAAAGACGATCAAACATATTGAGAAATAGGCAGTGATGCCAAAACACAGTTATTTCCTTTTTTTTTTTTTTAATTTTTCTGTGATTTACGGCTACATTGTTCATCTTTAAATGCTCTACACCGACCTAACCTAACCGAAAATGTACAAAGGTCAAAGTGTAATTTTCCATTTCTTTTAAATGAAAACAAGTTTCATTTAAAAGTTTTAAGAAAATTGTATGTTATAACTTATAGTCCCGCTGGTTTTTATTTTTATTAATTTTCGATAAACAATCAACAGTCGGTTTATAAATAATAATAATAATTTTTACCACGCATGCATTGTAAAAATAAACACCGTCTGGTGTCTAAATTTACACTCGCCGTTGGTAAACAACGAAAACTCATCCAACGGCGATCTTCGATGACTTCGAGCCCAGAATAGAAGCAAACTAAATTTTAAAAAAACGGTATGGTGTTTACACAGACATTTACCATTAATATTTGTTGATGAGCAAACAATTTTGTGTGTTTTGCGTAGGCACAATTCGGTTGTCTACTACACGGTAGGTTAGGTTATGTATAAATATTAAGACGTTTCTGTTGTTGGTACGGACGCACCGCGAGTGGTGCATTTTCAATGTGTTGAAATCATTGTAAACCTTACGATGTACCGGAACGTGTTGACGATTTCTATCGCGTTTCTAGCTACAGACAGCGGACCTAACCTAGGCTCCTTGGGCGGAACCACGGCCAGGGCGAACCCGACACCGGCTCAGACCGACTTGGTCAACCGGGTGTTCAAAGAACAGCGTTGGCCCGGGTTGTGGTTCGATTCGGTTACCGACGGAAACGATGACTGGTTGCCCGTGAGCGCACTGCTCGGTGCACGGTCGGACACGGACACTGGCCGCAAGCTGCGGACGATCACGCGGATGATGGGATGCGATTACGGGCTAAGGTTGCACTGGTTGCTCACGCTGGCGGTGTACGTGGTGGGCGAGTGCAACTACCTGTCTCTGCACGGCCACGGCACCGCCGTGCAAGACTGCTGGAACAAAACCGTAGGCCGCGTCGACGGATGTTTGTCGATAATGATAAAATTGATGCACATACTGACGTACGTCCATTACTACGTAGTAGACGACACGTGCGACCACGATCGGTTTTACAGGGCCCTGTTGCCGGTGCAGGCTTTCCAAACGCAGCGGCAACAGCACCGCGACGGCGTGAAGACGTTGCAGGACGTCTTGGCTTTCGTCGGCACGATGAACACCATTGTCGACGGGCTGCACGCGTTCATGACCGACCACTGTCGGCCACACTACAGGCCGTTGGTCGTCGAAGAGATAATGGACGAGCACGAGACGCTGGATCCCAGAAATTACAGCTACGTTTTTTACATTTACAAAATCGACAGTTACACGCTGTACATCAACGAACATTTGTCCAGACTGGGTTTCCGGTACATCCGGAGCACGGGCCGCACATTTTTCGATTCCAACAGCTAAACTCCGCGTGTGCTGGCTTTCATCATTCGTGTGAAAACAGTCTCGGTTTTTGCAGTTAGATTGGGTAATTTTCAGTGTTTTTTTTCTTCTTCTTTTCTTTGTAAAAATATTACAAATTCAATAAGTTTAAAAAAAAAACGCAATTATTCCGTTTTTAAATATACGTTATAACTTGTAAGATTGTTTGTTTACTAATTTATCTTCCACTAAAACTTATTATATTTCGATTAAAATATGATTTCAATGTTTTTTTATAAAATATGTAATTGATCCGTGTTTGAGTTTTAATTAAATAATCCTGATTGTCCTGATAGGGTTGTATTACGCCCAGAGTGGTGCATCGTTCGAATACAATTTTATCTATATAACATAATATTCTAGTAAAAGTTGTTCGAATAATTTTTTATTCAAATGTTTTCAAAAATAACACAGCCACACAAAAAAATGAAAAAAAAAGTTGCATCTCCGACGAAGTTGACTAGTCAATTCCTATGTATTTCTTGTGACTGAATCCATTTGCTATAATTTCCAACATAACCTAAAAAAACCTACGTTTTATTGTACTTTTTCGCTATGATAGAAAACCGTTAGCTAAATTTATAGCAATATATGTATTATGTACATGAATATCTGCTAGTTTGGTTCGCTTGACCACTCGCTTCGGGGGAGCGGTAGGCTGGGTACAGTATAAGGTCCTATTACTATGCTCTGCAAAATCGAGTGCTTTGGCGGACCAGGTCAAAGGTTCTGCCACAGGTTATGTTGAAAATGCAAGCTAACTTTCCGACCTCAGATTCGGAATCAGCGGCTCAAAATACATAGGAATTGATTAGTCGAGCACGTCGTAGATCAAATTTCTTTTTTTTGTATGAACTGTGCAATTCCCAAAACAATAACTATTCGAATAATGTTTAAACAGTTTGTAGGTGCTTTTTCAAAGTAGTTTTATTTTAAAACACCATTTTGTGTAAATATAATATAATATTCTACATTTTAAAAATATGTAAAACCAAAGTATATGTATGTATAGGAAGACAATTTTTTGTTCAAATAACAAGAATTTGCACAACACGGTTTACACCAATAAAGGGGTATGTATCATCAATGCCGTCGATTATTATTCCTTGGGTTTTGAATTTTTACAGTAGTAGTATATTTGTTTTATATAGGCTGCAGACCTATTGGTTTTACATCACAAAATACCAATGCTTAAAAAAACACCTGTTAAAACTGACAATTATTAACAGATCACACATAATTATTTACCCGCGAATGCATTAGTGTTGTATTAAGTTAAACATACACGGTAGCCTATTAAGCTTATAGACATTTTGAAAAAAATGTATAATTACATAAAATGTGAAAAACATAATTTAAATATTTTAAAAAAACCAAGTGAAAATAAATTCAATTTGAAAATCAATTTTTTTAAGTTTAAAATAATGCACGATTATTTTTTTTTAATAGCCTTTATTCATTAATATTATGGCAAAGTACCCTTATAAAGTAAACATTTTAGTCTTGTTATTTAACTATTTTGGAAGTTGTACCTCAGACGGTCAACACCTATAAAGGAAACACAAAAGATTAGGTGCGTTTTTTTTTCTATGAGAGCCGTTTAACAGTTTAAATCATACTGACATGTTATAAGCTCCTCGACTTCAGAGTAGCTCTAAAACGGTATCGGCTGACTTTTTATTAACCTACTAGGTTCGCGGCCAGCCACAATGCGAAGAAAAGACACGGTTTTTTTTTAAGGTAACATGGTTGAAATATTAAGAACAATTTTTATAGTAACACACAGGATGATCCGTTTAACGTTCAATGACCATATTAACGCAATTTGCGGCAAAGCCTACCGCAACTGTGGGGAGTTTAAGGATCTACAAGGTCTAAAAGTGCTTTATTCCGCTATGTACCGGTCGGGTCTACAATTTAGGACTGTAGTGTGGAACACCAATTAGATCCTGGACAAAATTTATACGTTTTGTTACTCATAAAACCAATATTAGGGGTCAAACAATTGTCATTAGACAGGGTTTCATTAAGAGGACGTCACCCGTTATTTTCTACAAAAAACCCGCCTTGCGCGGATTAATTTTACAAAGGCTATAATCAAAATTAAGAAACCAAATTTTTACATAGTATAGACAACAACATTGTCTGTGTTCTACCATCGTCCTATTCTTAATATTTCAACCAGTAAATGAATAATTGATTAACTAAGAAAGACCTTGTTGACTTTTTTTTTAAATTAAATAGCGTTGGTTGTATTAGGTATACAGAAAAAATGCGTATGATGGAACACAGATAATTTTGTCATAAATAATATGTATGACTTTCTTTCCTTAACTATATATGAAGCCTGAGAAAAATTAATCCGCGCAAAGCAGTTTTGATGTGAAAAAAATTGTAATTTATCGTATAGACATGACTGTGATAGTCTGACAAAAAAAAAAATAGCAATCAACAAAGTATCCTCATTACTGTATTAATAAGTAAACATTATAGTTCAAACTCTAATTTAAAATTTTTCGAAAAATTGCCTATACTTTACTCCTTAGAAATGGCCGGTGTGGCGCCCTCTTAAGAAGTAGATGAATATTCATGGACAGCCTTTTTACATTTTTTATTTTGAACGGTTTGGTGGATAGCCTTGAACTCTCTGAAAATCTCTTTTAGTGCTTCAAATGTTAAAATACGCGTGTAATAGAATGTTTGACTTGGATATTTTCTTTGATAAAATTTAAAAATTAAAACCAAGCGCCTTAATCTTTAACTTGGCGTTGTGTCTTTAAAGACAGGTGTAATATATATCTCATACACAACTTTCCACAGCCAACCTAAAAGTAGTATTATTTTACTTACTTTTGATGTATCAAAATTAGCCCTTGCTAATTTAAGGGTTAAAGACAGTGTGATCGGATATGTGTTTCATCAGTCGAGACGTTAAATGTACAATATATTTACTATGCATTTCTTGATGTTCTATATTTTGCACTCTTTGCCACCTGCGAGGCGTTACATTTTTTCGAAAATCTGTTTCCTATTTTTCCACAAAACATAATTCGGTTAATCTCAGTCGATCAGACGTTGTATTATGTATATTGTGTCTACATAATATGTTTTTTTAATATATTTTTTTTTCCACTCCCGACCGACCAATCTAGGTTGCGATTTTTCACCGGTCACAGCGTTGCGTCCGAGGTCCGCCCATGAGGACCGGTTGTCTTCCTTCGGGTAGGGGAATAGCGCCGAGACTCGTGCACAGCTTTTGGCACACGTTCAGTGTGTGTTTAATCGGTTCGCAATCATATTATTACGTTTTTCGGTTAGGTCAGATGCCGATCGAGTGAACTCGTGCGGTCGTCGCCGGTGACTTAAACGCGGGGTGCTGCCACTGACCACCACGTTATATAATATAATAAACCCGTATAGATCGAGTGACAATAAAAGATCTACAGGAGAGCCTCGAGTCCATAGCTTAGTGTTCGCCGTAAAACGACCGCGGGATGTTTTGACGGACTGCTTTAAGAAAAAAAATTCCGCAAAGCCAATGCCGAAAAGGTTCGAGTAGAATTTGCAGAAACATAAACGTCCGGAAAAAGGTATTTTACCAGAAATATTAAGCGGTCTATTGATTGTATTTACCGCGTTAGTGTACCTATACTTTCACTATAATTGAGCCTGATAGGAAAATGGGGATGAAACAATTTCAAAAGTTTTGAATTTCTTTTAAAAAAAATCTATTGGCTGTAAACGACAATCTAAAGCCAATCAATTTTTCAAACGGCATCATCCGCCAATGGAAGAGTAATAGTTTTGACACTAAGGGGGTTGCTAGGGGTTGCTTAGCACCCCCAGACTCAAAATTAGTACCTTCAAAAATTCAAACCCCAATCCTAGAATCGTACGCGTAAAATTTTAATAATGTACACACCCTGTTCAAATTTGTGTATTTTAGAATATTTTTTCAAAAATATTATTTTATACTTGACGGTTTGAAGAAAATATTTATGTTTACTCAGGTGTACATAATTGTAGCACCTTCTAAAATGTAGGTCTAGTTGCGCCTATGTCCGAGTGCCAAGTACTCAGATAATTTATCAACTATGATTTTCACTAGTAACAAAAATTCTCTAAAAATAAACTACACAACGCGACTAGGTGTTAAATGCTCAACTAAAAAAAGGGAACACATAATTTGTGTCAGTTAAGAGACAAATAATTGTGTAATTCCTCTTTTAAGGCGAGAATTTTCCAACCGGGCAACTAGGTGTAACATTTTAGTCATTATTTTACATTATTAATTAACGGTGTAATGAAAACGGAGGGCTCTAACACCTGTCACTTGCCTTTCGATTTTGAACACCATGTACAACGCATATGAGATTTTAAACTTGTTCACTTTACTCAAGTTTCTCCTGTCCGTTGTTGAAATTACATATAATATACATACATGAAAATAAAATTCTCAATTAGCGCCCAGCGCAGCGCTACTAGTCGGTCCGCGGTCGTAGGGGAGCCCTTCGGGGTGAACCACTAAAGTCAAGGGTACGCCTATACATGAAAGTAATTATCTAAAGATAAAATATTTTTTCTATTAATTAGACAAATTTGATGTAACACGATATTCTTTAATTTCTCAAATTAGTGACCCGACTTAATTAAAGTAAATAAAAAAAACACTATTAACATTCCCAGACTATTTTTAAATATTATAAAAATGTGAATTATGTCGACAAATTTTTTAAAAATCTTTTCACGATAATTATTAAATATTAGTTTTATAATTTTCTACTGTCTGTGTTATGTAGAAAATATTGACAAAAATACAATTCTTAGACTGCTGTTGTGATAATTAACTAACAAACCCAAGACGTGACTAAAGTAAACTTGCACTTGATCATTATTCATCGTAAGCGCTATCGTTGACGACTTAACTAAAACGTGTATTGTTATGCTTACAGTGTTAGTGTTTTCACGACTTAACGTTTTAAAAATATTGCAAACACCACTGTAAAAGTATTGGGTCCAACCCACGCCGCCTTAATGTATTATTGAGGTGTAAAATTCGTGGTTTAAATTATTAAAATTTTTCGGTTATTGATTTTCCATTGCCAATATTGACATGTTTCCATTAAACGGGATTTAGCTTCTATGGTGGAGCCATCGGTGAGACCTTCAGCTCATCTGACAACATCCTAACCAAAACAAACCTCTTCTTCCATTAACCCGTCCAAAGTGTCAACGCGGTTTGTTATTTTCAATACGGACATTAAATCTACGGAAAATACATTAGCCACGACCATTTACGACCGGTTATTTTCATATTGTATTTCTTGGCAAAGCGTTAAAACAAGCTATTAAACAATTTTTAATAACCTACCACTGACCGTGGACATGTCAATAAGCACCACAAGTCATCCACGTTAAGGTCTATCTTAGGCCGTACAGCGTTACGCATATTGCACTGTTAATAAAACAACGCAGACAATATTATACATAATTTTTACATAAAATCAATTCAACAGAGAAGATAAATCCTTGCGCTGTGCGAATTCGTCATAAATCATTATGTCGATTTGAATTTATTGTGTCATGAAGAACTATTTGGACGTGAATCTATCGGCTGTGTCTTGAGTAAACAGTAATAATAGTCCCGGTCGACGCACTCCGTTTATATGTTATTAAGTAAAAGGTAATCATTATTGCGATTATTTTATGGAAAATAACGATTAACGACTTAATTTGTTTTACACAAGAGTGGTTAATGGAAAATATTTACCAAAACATGAGTTGTTGATGATGATCATTCATGACTGAATAGATAGTAATAGTTAGATGCAATAATACAACTTAATATTATACACTTATAATCATATTTCTTAAAAAAAAAAAGTACATTATATTATGAAAATAAATAACAACAGTAAGAAGAAATTATTAAAAATTATTTTACATAATAGCAAATATTATCAACACAATGTATTCAATATGAATTTCAAAACATTAAATGAATATTATGCTTAGAAAAATTATCAACAAAATATTTAGGAGTTATTAAAGCAATTCATTTGCACATTATTATAATTGAATTGTAAGACAGAATATTAAATGGGTTGTTCCTCGTTCGTCGTAGATCATAAGTTTTAAACCTCTTCAATAGCTAAATACAATTTGTACCATTTATACAAATTTTAATTTAATGTATTAAAATTATTTTTCTCGTTTTCATAATAAAAAAAACTAAAATTATATTGGGTTTTTGTTTACTAAAAAGAATGTCTATAAGGAATTCTGCACCCTACCAAACCGTTACCTACACCTTCTTGAACACCATCAAAATGGGAAATATTAATTTAGTGTGAACAATGATGTAATATAATATATCTCGCACTAATAAAAACGAGATTATCTTTTTCTAATAAATAATGGTTGAAAAAAATAGTAAAAAAAGAATTTGTAAATGCTTTGTCTTCGGTTTTGTTTATATTACAAAAAAAACAAAAAGAATGGTTTTAAATAGGTAACTGAAAAAAATCATTTATAAAATCATGAACAAATATTATAAAAAAATGACTGTAATACTTTGACGGGATTTATGTTTTTATACAATTATTTTTATACTACCATTATTCATACATAAAAAATATAATACTAAATACTATATATTATAAAAACTATAGTATAATATATTATACTATAGTTTAGTGTTTTTTTTATATTATAAAACAATAAAGAGTACTTTCATAACCTAATACCTAATTCGAAATGTAGTAGTTTTATTTTTTTATTTTCCATGGTTAGTGGTTACCTTTAATATTATGTTTATCACGTTGCGTTTGCCTAATTTTACACAACTTTTTTTCGTCTCCAAATAAAGTATTTCATGCGAACATCTGTATCTAATGGAACTTCTTAAATTAGCAACGGTTTAGTTTTCTAAAAAAAAACCAGTTATTAGTATAATTTGTGCACTATAAGTTCATCTTATTACACACACACACACACACACGTTGTCGGTAACATGCCGGTATTTTTTATGCATAAATAAATAAAAAATATGTGTCACGTCCTTAAAGTGAAATCGACAAACTTTGATTATATCATGTTTATCATTATTTTTAAAGTAAATAATGTATTATAATACATACAATTTCTACCCATATTATGTTAAGAAATGGGATATAAATTTGATGAGTTGTAGAAAACAGCATCCGCAATCATACAAAATGTAAATTTAAAAGCTTTTTTATGCAAGTCGACCGAACAACTGATACAACACAAAAATTGTATTAATTATGTTATAAGGGTCATTTCCCACGTGAATGCAACACAAACATTTGTAAGTATATTTTGGATTTTCAAAAGTTAAAACTTATTTATTTCAATCCCGTTTTTTTACAACAAAGCAACTGATAAAGAAATGTTACAAGTTCAATAAGAAGCTACATTTACTATTCGTGGATTTTAGACAAGCGTGTGACTAGGTAAACCCCCCCCCCTCCCCTATAGAACTTTTTGGTATACCATCCAAGTTAAGAACAACGAACAGAATGTGTATAGAAACAGCAAGATGCAAGGTAAGATTCGGACGAACGCACTCTAAAGACTTTAAAGCCACAGTTGGGCTAAAACAAGGTGATATGCTTAATATGGCATAGTTGATTCTTGGAGAACCTAAAGACGATATAAAATTATAGCAACTGGAAAATCAATACGAAGTGCTAAGACAAAAGGATTTGAAATTAATGAAAATAAAACCATATGTATGTTTACAACAAGTGAACAAAGGTCTGACGAGATTATAAAAGTTGTCAACAATTAGAAACCACAAGTGAAGAGACCTTTATGAAGACCTGAGTAACGATGGTCTGATAAAGTCAATTTCAAATGCGAATTGTGTTGATTGCATAACAACCCGTTTATTTTTCAAACCACAATGTTTTAAATCTTGCACGACATTCGAACAAGATTATTTGTACATCATATTTATGCTTAGAGTATGCTTAGGCTTTCTCTTGATATATATATATATATATATATATGTACTTATTCTCATCTGTACAAATAACCGTATGACAACCGAGAATTATTTAAAATTCGCATTAAGGTCAATTAACGTTATTTTTTAAAGCTCACGTTTTCGCAGAAAGGTTAAACGTTTTTTTTTTTTTTGGCTTTTTCCAACCGAGTCGAGTGTTTTTTTTTTCTGCTCGACAACGTTAGTGGATATTATGTAAATTCCGTGACGGTTAGGTTGTGCTCCCCGGTTAGAGCTGTTGTTATTGCGCGGGCCGTGGACCATGGTAGTGAGACAAAGACACAGAGGCGATGATAGTGGCAGTATATTATTAAAAAAAGAGTTATTTATACCGTGGGAATACGTGACCGGGGAAAGTGCACGGGCAGAGTCTTTTTAGATGTTTTATTGCAAATGCGTGTGCGTATCACTGTGCCGGCACATAACGCAATGTATTATATTATTATACATACATATATACGTGCGTGCACTCGGCTACTGTTCACTCGGATCTCGGGCAAGAAATAACACAGCACAACCGACACGACACTCTCTTGCTGTGACGCTATATGATAGGGGAAA